TTTAAGCCACCGGGTCCGGGATGCGAACTGCAGTCGACTACGTGGGAGTCCAGCAACATAGCCATCACGCTAGCTGCTGGTTCCCTAGATATCCCTTTTTTTTTTTTGGGAGAAATTTTCACTGTAGGGTGCGTGCGCTCACCAGACAGACAGAGAGAGACATAGACAGAAAGCGAGAAATCACTCCCCAGGGGGGATGGTCACGCCGCAATCCCTTCTCCACTCTCCTCTCGGGATCTTGGGCACACACGCACACGTGCCCAGCGTGATTTTTAAGCCACCAGGTTCGGGACGCGAACCGCGGTCGACTATGTGGGAGTCCAGCGACATAGCCATTACGCTAACTGCTGGTTCCCTAGATATGCCTTTTTTAAAAGAAGAAACATTTTGAAGCTCCTCAACTTTCCAAAAGAGTTTTTTAGGAGCAGCTGATTTATCTTAAAACAGTGCAGAGTCCAGTTCAAACACTGAGAAGCATACCTGAATGTGTATGACTATAGCACCTGATTTGTTTCTAGTGTGGGATGGTGTAAAGGTGAAAATTGGGTTATCCTGAGCTGTCATTGACAGGCAAATATGAAAAATCTCATTATTTAAACTGGTATTTTAATTTTATTTTTAAAAATAGAGCATGTGTGCTTATCAGAGAGAGATAGGGACAGTGAGAGAAAAAATGAGAAATCACTCCCCAGAGGCCATGAACATGCTGCAATCCCTTCTTTGTACTCCTGGAATTTGGGGCACACCCAGCCTTATTTTCAAGTTGTCAGGTCTGGGACGTGAACACAATAGTCAGCCAAGTGGAGTGCAGTGCCCTAACCATTATACTTTCTTATGGTCCCTGAATTGGTATTTCAAACATTTTTTAAAAGAATTATTTCTTTAACTTTATTTATACACATTTTATTTTGACCAGAGAGGGAGGGAGCAGAAAAATGAGAGAGGGAATGTGAGAAAGTCAGCTGCTAGATTCGGGACTCGATTATGGTTGGCCATGTGGAAGTCCAGTGTCCTTAACCACCAAGCTACCTGCCACCCCAGTATATTAACATTTAGAAGTATGCAGAGTAGGACCAGCCTGTAGTGTGGTAGTTCAAGCAGCTAGATTTCCCCACGTGGCCAATCAGTTTGAATCCTGGACCCAGCGACCTTAAGGAAAAAAAAAAAAAAAACAGGTGTATATGCAAGTGTGCCCAGAAGGAAGAAGTGGAGGAATTGTAGCTTGACCATTCCCCATGTGTATGCGAGTGCTTTCTCACTTTTCTTCTGTCTTCTCTCAGGTTTCTCTCTCTAGTGAGCGCATGTGACCTCTGGCAAGAAAAAAAATATATACATACATACGTAGACACACCCTGTCTACCAGCTTCTGTTCCAGATCCACTCCTTACCCTGCTCTGCACTCCATGGAGTTTGACCTGTGTGAACTATATCAGAGGTATCATTTACATGGTCTCTGGCTGTTAAGCTGCTGCAACAGCAAAGTACTGCCATATTTATGTCAAGACTAAAATACCTAGTCCTTTTGCAGGAAAAAAAAAAAAAAAGTCTGCCAACTCTGAGCATATCAGTGGGTTCTTTCCCCTTCAGCTTTTGGTTGAGCATGACTAATGCTGCGAACATCATTCTAGTGGGGGTGGGACATCAGGATGAATGCATTATGTCCATCATGCTCAGTCATGTGGCCTCAGGAAGGAATTACTACACTGGTGATCTTTGAAGAATTCTGGTATACCAGCCCTACTTAGATTGTAGATGATATGGAAAACATGTATATAAACTTAGGATCCCGGGGCCAGCAGGTTGCATGATAGTTAAGGTGCTGGATCTCACACGGCTGACTCTGCAAGTCTGGTAATGGAACCAGCGACCTGAAAAGCATGCTGGGCACACACATGTCCACAATCCCAAGAGGAGACTGGAGAAGAGGGATTGTGGCATGGCCATCCCCCCTGGGGAACAGTTTATCACTTTCCCTCTTGTTTCTGTCTCTCTCCAACGAGTGTATGTGCCCTATAATGAAAGTCTAAAAATTAAAAGGGACCAGAAGGTGGCATGGTAGGTAAGGCACTGGATTCCCACATGGGCAACCATAGTTCAAATCCCAGACCTGGTGACTTGAAAATCACATCAGGCATGTGTTCATGCATACCCAAAACAGAGAAGAAGAGGTTTTGTGTGTTCAGTCTTTCTCTTTGTCAGGCAAGCACCCTATGGCAAAAACCTAAAAAATAGGAGTCAGCAGGTAGCGTAATTGAGGTGTTGGACTTCCACATGGCTGACTGTGGTTTGGGTCCCAAACCTGGCAGCTTGCTTTCTCACTTTCTCTCTCTCTCTCTGATGAGCATATGTACCCTATAGCAAAATTTAAAAGTAATAATTATAAATAAAAAACGTAAAATAAGAAAAATAAAGAAGACCCCAATTCCAATTTGGATGTTGGCATAACAAAAGTGGGTACAACTAGCACAAAATCCAAGAAATAGAGGGGAAATCAGTTTTTTAACCACATTGGTTTATGGCAATGGTCAAATCATGGGGTTCCTGGAGATAAAATAGATGGACAGGCTTCCAAAATGCTCTTTGATACATACAGGTGGGAAAATTCTACACCTACTGGGCAGAATCATAACTGAATCACCAAAGTAGGGATTTCACATCTTTGACCCAGCTCTTAGAAAAGCCAGTACACAGACCCAAAGCTTCTCTACAGAGAGAGAAGGTAGGTCATTTTCAGGAAAATTGTTGCAATTGGGCTCATACATATACTATAAGAAAAGAAACTGCCAGGACCAGCAGATGGTGTAATGGTTACATCACTGGACTCTCACGTAATCGATTGCAATTAGAGTCCTGGACCCAGCGACTTAAACTCATTCTGTGTGTTGTGTGGGCATGCATAGTCAAGATTCTGAGAGGAGAATGAAGGAGAAGGCATTGCAGTGTGGCCATCCCCCCCAGGAGGGTGATTTCTCACTTTCTGTCTCTCTGAAGAGTGCATGCGCCCTATATAAAAAAACTCTCTAGGGACCAGTAGTTAACGTAATGGCTATATTGCTGGACTTCCATGTAGTCAACCACGGTTTGAGTCCCGGACCCGGTGGCTTAAACTCATGCCAGGCGCGTGGGTGTGTGCTCAAGATCTCGAGAAGAGAATGGAGGAGAAGGGATTGCGGCGTAGTCATCCCCCCTGGGGGGGGGGGATTGCTCGCTTTCTGTCTCTCTGTCTCTCTCTGTCTGGTGAGCGCACACGCCCTATAGTGAAAAACCTCTCCAAAAACAAAGAAACAAACGTTTGCTTTTAAAACGTAGGTGATATAAAAGGCAGTTAAGGGGGCCAACAGGTGTCACGGAGGTTAATGCAGCTAGACCCCAGTGGCTGGCTGTGCAGTTCAAGGACCAGACCTGGTGGCTTGACAACACGGCAAGCACAAGTACTTGTGTGCCCAAAATCCCAAGAGAAGAATGGAGAAGGGGGGTCGGCAGGTGGTGTGCCACTGGACTCCCACATGACCAACCCCGGTTCAAGTCCCAAGCCTGGTATCTTGCTTTCTCACTTTCTCTCTCTCTCTCTCTTGTAAAATAAGAAAAATAATAATAACAAATGGAATTAAGTCAACAAATAATTATTTTTTTAGAAATGAAGAAGAATGGAGAAGGGATTCTGATGTGGCCATTCCCCGTGTAGGGTGATTTCTTACTTTCCCTCCCTCTCTGTCTCCAGCAATTATGAGCACCCTATAGCAAAAACTAAAGAAAAGGGACTAGCAGATGGCGTAATGGTTATGTCACTGGATTCCCATGTAGTTGACAGTGGTTTGAGTCCTGGCCCTGGTGGCTTAAAACTCATGCCAGGTGCGTGTGCATGCACACCCAAAATCCCAGGAGGAGAATGGAGGAGAGGGGATTGTAGTGCAGTCATCC